TATTATTTTATTCTTTATTTAAATGAAAAAAAAAGTATGATGAAAAAAGATATTACCTTCGACAATACATTCTTATTATTATCAGTCCTCTAATCCACCGATGAGTATATAATTCACAACCAGTCGATATTAATCGCTAAAATCTCTTCCTTCTATTCTTAAGAAAGTCGATTTTCTTTCTTACGGATAGAAAATTAAGATTTTAAAGAAAATCTTAGAAACAGAAATATTAAGATTACCAAGAAAAATATTTTTCTTAAGAAAATGACATAAGAAAAATTTCTAAGTAACTTTCTTCTTTTTTAAAGACTAAAAACATTAACTTCGTTAAAAAGGATTACTTTTCTAGTGTGTGAGAGATTAAATTTCCCAAGAACGTTCTTTCTTTTATGCAAGTTTAAGACACTCGGAAAAGTTTGTTTCACAAAAATAGAAAAAAAGAAAAATTAAGACCTCTGAATGATTATGTTTCTTAGTTATTATTTGGATAAATAAAGAATAAAAAATAATTAAGCGAGTAATACTTTTAAGTTAATTCTTATTATTGCTAAAGAATTAAACAGTTAATACTTTAAGTTAATTGTCCTTATTTTTCTTAAGAATAGAAAACACGTATTCTTAAGGAAACTATTTTTCTTAAGAAAGGAGTGTACAATTTTGAAGGAAACTATTCCTAAAAGTCGGGATTTTAAACGTGTTGATAGTCAAATAAAAAAAAAAGGAAATATTTATAAGAATGCAAAGCAAAAATTTCTAAGGAAACTAAAAGGAAGGAATCGTTCAAAAAAATTCTGTCTAAAAGTTACGCTTCTTAAGTGTAATGATGATTTTCGATGATCATCGAAAAATTTCTTAGGAACAAACACACAGAATAAAGTTTTCTAAAAAAAAAAAAGAAGAGGAAAAAAATTAGAAGGAAGCAAGATTTGAAAGTAAGGAAACAAAAAGGAGGAGAGAGAAAGTATAAGTGGACGTCGGTGGACGTGTACCCAAGGAAATCAGTCGTTATACTCTTCTTCGAAGAAGATGGCCGCTACGAAGCACGAAAAATCAAAATTTTTATCGACATATATCTCTCTGCTTTTCCTATCTTAAGAGGTGGCAATAGAAACAGGTTGGTCGGCTTCATGCTTTTTTTGACGTTTCTCGAAATATCTCCTCTTAGCAGCGAGTCTCATAAGCTCTTTGCGACGCTGTAGGATTTGTTCTCTTTCGGACGATGATTTCGAAAAACGTCCTCCTAGGCTGGAAGGCTCTTCGCCGCTGCAATCATTTATTATAAACAATTTCGTGTTATGCTATTCAAGTTACACCATATCTTAAAAACAAAATATTTCTAAATTTTCAAGAAATTATTTAAGAAGTGAAAATAAATATACGCTGCACAAAATGTGGATAACTTTACTCAAGTCTTGTAAACAATATTTTGACAGTTACTTATGCTATACACATTAAACGTTACTATGAATATAATAGTTTTTCAATTGGTGATATTTGACTCTTTCTTAAGGTATAATTTTTAACGATCAAATATTGAACAGTGTATTTGTAAATGTATTGAATAAAAGGCTTGAGTCATTTTAAGCAATAAATAATAGTATCAGATAATATTATGTATCTTATCAATATTGTATTCTGATATACATACTAGAAAATGTATTGTTTTGTTATTGTAACCTCTTTATGTGATTAATTCTCATATTCAGTAAAATAAATAGTAAAAATTAAAAAGAAAGAAAAAAAATTACCTATCAGCGAGAGGAATGTCAAATCTTGGATCTGAGGGTAGCGGCGTTGATGAAGCTGTATTCAAGGAAACACTAATCTCAGTGGTGTTGGTATGAATTTGAGGGACGGATTCCGATTGCGGTTCTTCCATTAAATGATGAGGCGATATTAACACCCTGTCGAGGATATTTTCAACTGTCCATTCGACCGATCTTGTCATTCTGAGATCTTCTACAATTAGATTGCGCGGGAAATTTGGAAACAGCTGTTGCACCTGTTTCAAGAATAAATAACACCAGTTTATTTATTTCATCATTACACATTTAACATCATAATGCAATTGGTGATGACCTTAAAACGCAAAAATAAAATGGAAATTTTTTTCTGCTCCAATTAGTAATAAACACGTATTTATAAACTATTTCGTTAGGGTTAATTCGTTTGAGCTCAATATTTTATTTATAGGAAAAGTTTTGGATCAAGTCCATTCTTCTTTGAATATATATTACATTCACCGCTGATGTCATTGTAAAGACACAACAACGATACAAAATTTAATGAAAAATGTTCTACCGAATATCGGGAAAAATATCTTCTCTAAATAACAACTTTTGTTTTTAATAATTATAATTAGGAATATTACTGCTAAATTATGTCTAAAGAAAAATAAATTATATAGAAAATTGTAGTTTAATGCTCAATAAATTTTGAAAGTTATATTATTTCTAAACAATTAAAAATTTACAACTAAATTCACCTGTCTAGTCATGGCATCCATTTGCGAGTTGTTATGTGCAATGGTAGAAATATTTCCACGTAGCCTATTATGAGATACTTCAACAGAAAAGCTTGGTAACCAAGAGACATATCTTGAGCCATCGAAATGGAAAAAGTGGTTTTCATTTCGTCTAGCTGGTGTCTGTGATTCAGTAGTTAGCTCTTCTGTGTTTTCTCTATGGCTGGGTTGCATGCTTAGGGCAAGTCTACAAGTTGGGCAAGAAGTATCTTGTTCTAACCAAGACTGTAAACAAGAATTGTGGAAGAGATGACCACAAGGTAGTTTTCGAGCACTTTCCATTTTTTCCCAACATATTGCACAGTTGTCTGAGTTTCCTGCTAACTCTTCTGGATTTGCCATTGGGTAACTAAAATAAATATTCAAATAATTTGTTCCAATTAAACTATTATGTTAAATGTAACAATTACAAAGATGAGAAATACTCACTTCTGTTCCATCCGATTTAGCACAGCAAGATAGTTTCTGTGCTTTGTAATTTTGCGTTGTATTTCATAGAAAAGATATCTTAGCTGCATACAGATTACTAGGGAGGCCATGCTCAGTAAGATATTACTCCAAATTAGCATGTGAACATGGTGGAGAAAATCTACAGCCAGTACTATTAATTCTGCTGCTAGATCTGTATAGTATGTTAAAGGACCTCTTTTGTCCCAAGATTGTTGTGAAGGACTTCCAGCTCCTCGAGTGTCATATAGATGAATAATGTATCGCACCATTACATGAATTGTTCTGACACCTAGCAGAATACACTGTTAACAAGAAGATAATGCATTAGAAATATACTTTTTTAATAAGATTTTTTTTTACATATATTTCTTTATTTTCATATACTATTATTATAATATTTACTACAAAATATGAACAACAAAAATACTGTAAAAGTTTGAACATCATAAAAACATTGTATTGTATTTTAACACAAACTAGTAAATTGGAAAAAAAAAAGTCAGAGGTATTGGCTAAATAGAAAACTCATTTTTCCTTAGTTTTAAATAAATAAAGAAGATTTACGTTACCTCAGCTGCAGTAAAGACAAAAGTATTGAAAGAAACGAAGAAGAAGGCTGCAGCTGTACACAGGAGTAACATGAAGGAGGATAATGCAAGTATTGCAGCAAGAAGGCCTAGTAGCCTTGCATGACTCCATCCTGGTGTTGTTGGTGAAAAAGATAACTGAAGAATAATTTATAACATTAGTATTATTGTAAAATAACTTTGAAATTGTTGAAAGTAACTAGAATATTTATTTAATTTAATTTACTATTAATATCTGTTATTAAATTTGGTCCTTTACATAATAATACATACATATGTATAAGGCATGTAGCTTAGCTATAAAATTTAATAGGAGCATCACTGTCTTATAGTTTAGGATTATGTAGAATCAAATAGGACAATCCACATAATCCATGTACTGGAATGCAGCCAAATATAATACATTTGTGTCTAATTTCAGGTGTATATTATTTAAATTAAGAGATTTGTGAGAATAACAGTCAGTGAAAAGGGTGTTAATTACAAGATAATAATTTCTGTTTAATTGCAAGAATAGATATATTGAAAGAATATATTTAAAGAAATAGTAAAAATTAGTACATCTATTACACATTGCAATTCAATGATATTTGGCAATGAATATACAACAATATAATTATTAATAATCTTATAAAAATTCTTTTTTCAAGAAAAATAATTTTATATATTATTAATAAGCCTGAGAAGTAAGGTTTTATTTACAGTTCAGTTTGGCATGCTGTGCAGTAATTTACTTTACAGGATAAAAAAAAAATGGCATATATGGGACAAACCAAGGAAAATTGAATGTCGCGTAGCTTGGAGAGACGTAACCTGGTTACCTCTATTCGATTATACTAACGGGATTCACGCGAATTTATTGCATAACGGAGTCACGAGATTCTTTGTTTTTATACCGAAGCCTCTATTTATTTCACACTTCTGCATACTTCTTTTTAAATCCTTATTTTTGCTTCTTTTTTTTTCTTTTAAATCCTTAATGTTCCTATGCGATCATCAATAACTGTAACGTTACATCACATGAAACAAGTTTATTTTCCCTACTGGTGGATCTAGATATTTTCATGCTGTGTGAAGTGAAAAATGCAGAATATAATTTATACCGTGACAATGAAAAGAGTTAAAAGTTTTTTCTGTATTTGTTCTTTGGAAGCATGAGGATACATTCAATATTTCACACGTGTTTCTGATAATTCTAATTTATTTTACATAAGTAAGTCCTACGTTTGTAGTACTTAAGATTTGTCAGCTTTGTTTTATTTTTTTCACTAGAATTCTAATTTTTTGCTCAAATATTGAAAAACTGGAAATTTGCGTAAATTGAAACTGAAATAAATATACGAGAGTTTTAATAATGAAGTTTTAATAATCATTCAAAAATGTAGAAACAACAACAGTTTAAAAATAATTCTTTGATAAATATAGTTATTTTAAATTTGCATATTACACTATTTTATTATTAGTTCACTACATTCACCTCAGTTCAAATAATTTTCACACAATTCTCTCTTATACTGACAAGAATATCCTGACAGACTGTCTTAAAATTTAACATAGTTTTCAGATCACTTAAGATACGATATCTTATTCCAAACTTTACTAAAATCCCGCAGCGCACGGCGGGTTGCTCGACGACAGGCGGCAAAGTCTGCATCCAAAGTTTTCTTACAAAAAAAAAAAAAAAAAAAAAGAAAGGACAAGTTTATTGAACAAAAAATGTTTCTTTTATCGATTCTTTTTTGTCGTTTTACGAAATATCACAATTGCACGTCTCTCCGAAGCATAGACATACATTCAATTACCGAAACAGTCAAATTGCCATGTTACCCCATTTCTAAAAGAAATTGCAACGCATCGTGGTATCTTTTCCAATTTCAATTGAGCAGGTGCGTGTAAGAAGGGCGTGAGCGTTATTTCGCCTAATATCTCAATTTGACATTTGACAAAAAAAATAAAATGTTTATTCTTTCATTTATAAAAGTTTAATAAACTGTGTACTTTTGAAACATTTAAACGACACTACCTCCTATATTCCTTCAGCGGTGTTTTTCTCAAAATCAATTTCCGAAAAACAGAAGATTTTTTCAGGAAATAATGAAAAATGAAACGTTCGCAAAACTTAAAAATTCGATTTTGTCATCTGGAATTTCTTCATAGCAACAATATCTACTACTAATGGTAGAATTGAACTGTTGTTTTGCACCAAACAGTCGATTTTTTTTTCTAATCGAAAAACAGCGAGAAAAAAACGAATAGGATTGACCAATTTTTCCATCAAAGTCTTCAATTGTCGAGGACCACCCTGTAGAATCCCACGATCGTTCAACGCGCATTAGGTTCGAGCCAATGATCGAAGGCGTAAATACACAGTGTCGTAAGCCTGCTCGAATAAACGAGCGACACATCGATTTACCACGGCCAACAAGGCACGCGTGAATAAAAGATACTGCGTAGCGTGGCGCGCGTGCCTTCTAACGAGACAATACGAGGGAGGCAGCTTCGTTCGCGAATTTCGCAAGGCGCCGCGCCGTTTCTGCGCAAGGCGTGTGCCAACATCACCGAATCATCTGTCCCAAATTCGTGTTCCGCTTTAAAATATGCTAAGATATTCAGTGAATTTCAGTCTGTCTGCCGTGTTCACGGCTACAGTGTATTATCAAGGTCTATCGGAGGAACAGTCTTCGATAAATGAAGGATTTCATGTCACAATGTTGCGAGTGCAATTGTACACAATTTTGCTGTTGATATTAGGACGATCCACAAAAGGGAGAAAAAAATTATTTTGTAGCAATAAATGCTCAAAATATTCATTTCTACATTTCATTTGCACACACACACACACAGGGTGTTAAAGAAAAGTGTCTGAGACTTTAGGGGCTTATGTAAATGCTTACACAACATGGATCATAAAGTCGATCCTTTTGGTGTAAAATCCGCGTTTGTATTCACTGTTCGACGTTTCAAGGTTAAGTATTTTTTGAGATGTTATGCAAGCCATTTTTGTAAATGTAGTTTTCAGACAAACGCTTTCAAATATTTTCGTAAATGTAACACACCGATAATTGTACGTATGCTTTCTACGCCAATCAGCGATTCTAGGATCATATAAGAATTCCTCTTCTTGCTCAAGAATGTCTTACAGAGAACATTGTTTCACTTCTACGATCCTTCTTCTTTCATCGTGCCATAAACTCGTACAATTGGCGAAACGCTGCGCACAGCCTACTTCAAATCTCTGTAACTTCCTTAATATTTCAAATTTCGCTGTAATATCTTACACACATATTCTAGACACTGTACACCCATAACAAGGATAAAAAAAAGTTGACATTTTTGTATCTAAAATCAAAGCGAATTCCCTCTTAAGTTACTTTATATATACAAATAAAAATGGCGAATCCGTGGGCAAATAAATCATCGCGTTTTAAACACCGGCTGTTCCACTTGACTCATCTTCGTTTAACAGATTAACCTTCGAATCGCTCGTGAACCAGGCGATAAATAGGAAGAGGTGCTTCGTCAGTGGTGTCACGCATCGACAAGCCGTCTGCAAGCCGGTAAGAAATGCAAATTCGCGTAAGGTAAAGAGGGTGAAGACGAAAGCAAGCTCGTTCAATTTTGCTGCTGCGCAGCCCAAGGGTCCTCGGGTGATCTCGTCTCGAGCGGAGTGATGGTTTATTTCTTATTTACCAACTATTAGTGTAGGAAGTGTACGAAAAACTTTAAAGGCGTTTATCTCAAAAATGGCTTCTATAATTCTACTCAATACTTTGTCGTCCCTAAGACAGTGTCTTTGTAATAACAAATTAAGATTGAAAAATTTCTCGATAAAATGATCATTTGTTCTTTATATTATCGTTTCCGCGAATTATCGCGGCACGAACGATAAAGGCAGCCCTATAGATCAGTGCCGCTCAGGCAGACAGACGTTCCGCGGGCAAGAGTGCCCGTCGTTGCTCACGAGCACTGTTACGGGCAAAGCTGAGAACAAGTGACGTCGTGAACGGTTTCACGTGACAGTTCGTGTGACGTGGTGACGACAGTCGTGAGGTGTTTCGTACCATCGTACAAGTGGAGTATTTCTATGAAAAAATTGGCCAAAATTATACGACTAGTTTTAGCGGAGCTAATAAAAATGCACTTAGAAATGACGAATACGTAATTATTTGATACAATTTTCCATGAAAACTGAAAGGATTAATCGGGTATCATTGTAGGCAGAAAGCCACTTACATATTCGAATCGATCCTTGCAGAGCTGGCTGAGCAAACTTAGGAAACCAAGCGCGGTGAACCAGGCCCACCAGAGAACCACTTCTTCCATGTACTGCACATTCAGTACGCCGAACACGAAGATGAATTTGTAGAAGACGAAGTTCCAGAACTTATCCTTCAGGTGTTGCCTCTCAGAGGCTCGGAGCTCGCCGAACACGAGCTTCTGGATCGTTTTGCCAAGCAAGATCAACACACAGTACGCCATGTTGATCAGAGTCTGTCGACAATGGAGAACATTATTATTTTTATTATTATTTTCTTAACGGGTCTTTCCCTCAGAGTTCACGACTTGATAGTTCATAATACAATAATACAACTTTTTTAATTTTACTTTTTTTCTAACTGAAAATTTGTTTATCATATTGGTGAGATTTTTCTGATTAAAACGAGATCAAACATGATATAATTTGGACCACATTGACCTTCACATTATCCACGAAACCTAGTCCCCCCATTCACACTGTCGGTAAAGTCGGTGCCTCCACGTCATCTAGGAAATCTAGTCCCCCCCATTCAAAGTGTCGTTTCGGCCCATTTCCTCCCTTCACAGTGACGCTTAAACCCGGTCCCTTCCTTCCTACTGTCGCAAAAACCTAGTCTCCCCCCTCCCATTCACAGTGTCGTTTCGGCCTTATTCCTTCCTTCACACTGACGCTGCTGAAACCTAGTCCCACCCTTCACACTGTCGCTGTCATACGAGCCGTGCTTTCACGTAGGTTGTGCCTCTGAATTTTTCAGGCACAGCTTATGCATTCGACGGGCAATGTGAAGGCACAGCTTATGCAACACATATTGGCAAATAAAAAAATGGCAAGGTTTCAAAGAAATTGCTTTCAATTTTAGCAAAAGAAATAATGGTTTTTTTGACCGCACAGACTGAATTTTGAAAATATTTGCACAATTCTAGTTCAGACGATAAAGCAACGTCTACTGAATATACCTGACAAATTTCGAGTGATTGGGGCTTCTGGTTTTTTGGTAACCATGTCAGCCAGTTTCAAAAATGCCGTTTCGAGAAAAACACGTTTAAAGTTTCAACTATAGTTTAAGACTATATAAAACCGCTTCCTTTCAAGGCACATATCTCTGCCAATTTTCAGAATTAAGCTTCAGAACTTCGTGGACATATTTTCGAGATGTTACACTATAAGAAAGTGCAACAAAAAAGAAAAACTGATCTTTTCAACCCGTCACAGTAGGAAGACCACTTAAGGATAGTTTAACCCCTTTTAAAATTTATTCAATTTTACAATTTTTATGAACTTTTTCAAAGTTTTTACCTGCAGAAAAGTTGCAGTAGAAGGGGTTCATACAAAGTTTACGATACGAACGAAGAATTCTGCTATTTTTGAGTTAAGTATGTCATTAACTTTACGATATGAAAAACAATCGACCGTTCCTACGGTCAATATTTGACATTTTCATTATGGAGGATACGAAGACATTTTTAGATGGAATCTCTGAAAGTCAGACACAATTTTAAAAATAAAGAATTAATATTCGATGTTTTTGTAAAATGTCATCTGCTTAAAGCACAGACTTTCTCTCGAAGATTTACACTTCATGACAACTGATTAATATTTTAAGTTCGTTTTTTTTTTCCGCTTAATAAAACGAATGTTAAAAAGTGTGGAATGCGTCATAAATATGTGACAGTAATTATTTAGTAGTTTCTCGAAATCTAATAACATTAAGAATGTCTACTTCATCGTAGATCGTTGCTTATTGCTTTAGAAATTAAACGAAAGACGTTGCTTTCACAATTTCATTCCTATAAAAATCTTCACAATATCACACGTACGTATAAAAGTGTAAAATGTAAGTGAAAGACAGTAAGAAAGTGGAACTTTCACCAATATGACTCTTCATATTTGTTTCTCATACGGATATTTTCAGAAGTAAATTCTCCTTTTAGAAACAACGTTACGTACTTTTTTACATGATACAATTTTTTGTTCACATTCACAAATTTGCAAATATTTAAACGACAATGATTACTTTCATTTATAACAGACAAATCGTTGTTAACTAAGGAGAAAAGGAACGAGAAAATAAATTTTCAGAGCGTTATCAATTTGCATGGATAATCTTTTCATTACTGTGCTTCTTATACGTCGATAAATAGTAATTTCCATGAAAATGTCATTAGCGGTAGAATTATACTCGACGTTATAGTGGCAATTTTTATTTACATTTAACTGCTCAATTACCGCCTTATCAATGTGAATTATGTATTTTTCCCTGAGACTGTGAATTATGCATTTTTCTCTGAAATTTAAACAGCGCAACGCGCTGCTCACTGGGAAAAACAATGGTTTCGATTAAACGCGGTATATCCAACAAATTTTCCTTAGATTAAATGTTTTATTTACGATTAAAGTAACTGCGAAGAATTTATCGTATTTTTATAAATTGAACGTGTATACATTTTTACATTTGTAAGTTCAAATTTCTAATATATTAGGTCATCCCATAAGTTCGTGCCGAATTTAAAAATTCAGATCGATATTTCCAACGAACCTTTACATTTGACAAAAAAAAAAAAAACGTAAGCGCCTTCTCGTTCCACAACTTTTTTCTATTTTTTTAGTAATACCATTATGTCGTCGCTGTAGTATTTCCTTGAATTTTCCTTAAATTATTTTTCGTTCTCGGCACGAACTTATGGAACGACCTAATATATGTAAGATTTCTTTAAATTTACTTATACAACAAGCAAACAATTTTATATATATATTTTTTTTATCAGGTAAGAAGTTATTTCCTTCGTTGAAAATTGTGCCAAAAATTTGGAGGTGTCTTTGGCAATAAGAAAAGAATTAAAAAATTGTTTGTCAGGGAAAGAATTAATTTGTGAAATTATATCTAATAAAAATGTTCTTTTCTCCCTCACGATTCAATTAAGTAGGCAATTTTTTAGCTACAATTCTGAAACACCTTGTATAATGTAAGAAGAGAATTTACAAATTTGATTATTACAAAGATAAGTAATTCAGTAAGCTACACATATTAAATACTTTCAGTTTTATTACAGGAACTCACATAACCAGTTACATGGTTAATCAAAATTACGAAACGCTCTATATATGCAGCAGTAACTAAAACTACTGAATACATCAAGGTTGACGTATTCATAACGCACCTATCTCTCAAGAATTTTCCGTTTTTCTTTCAGAATCCTTGCACCACGTAAAATTTTACCAACAACTTTGGAACAGTCTGTACGTAATAGGAATAAAATATCAGAGGAACGGAGATATTCGTCGTTTCATATTACAGAATTATGCACGACAGAAAAGGAAAAGGGAAAATAGAGGAAAATGACAGAAAAAGAAAAGATAAGATATAGAGAAAATGACGGAAAAAGAAAAGATAAGATAGAGAAAAGAGAAAATAGAGGAAATGGCAGAAAAAGAAAAGAGAAAATAGAGAAACTATTTCTCAAGAATTTTCCGCTTTTCTTTCAGAATCCTTGCACCACGTAAAATTTTACCAACAACTTTGGAACAGTCTGTACGTAATAGGAATAAAGTATCAGGGGAACGGAGATATTCGTCGTTTCATATTACAGAATTATGCACGACAGAAAAGGAAAATGATAAAATAGAAAAACAAAAGAAAAATTTCGTTCATTCAAAGGTTCGAACGTTCGTTTATATTGCTACGTTCGCGCTGCTTGTTTATCAGTTACCTTGAACGCGTCAGGGAGTACCGTCTTTCTGTTTGGCAGAGATAGTAGGAAGTAAGAGACAACGGGTAATGTTTGCTGGTTGTCGCGTACCAACGATGTTAATGACTGCCAAACGCATCTAAAGGACAGCTAATTTTAGTTCTAAGTTGTAGCTTCGGTTGTTCTCTCCCTTAAGGGGGTATTCCGGTTTTGAATGCCATCTTTTAAGCAATTTTTAGGATTTATTTTCAAAAGAACCGTTAAACTTTTTGCAACAGGGTTTTGCACATACATTTATGGGTATTTAAGATACATAATACATTTTGTTGAAGTAAAAACAATCAAAATTACACGAGTTACAAAAGTTACAAAAAGTATGTTCACTGTTTATATGATTCCGGGCCTTCCGCTGATCTATAATAAGAAAATGAGGAAGAATCTTAATCGGTACAAATCTGGCTATGATCTGAAGCAAAATGAAATAAAAATATTGATTATTTACAAAATGGCAGCATTTTCAATTTAGATTATCGATTTTTTTCATATTTTGCCGTCCTTAGCATGTTAAAATAATAAGAAAAAAACGACGGAAGTTAAAAATTTTGGTTCATGCGATAACAGGACGTATGCTGAAGAATCTCGACAAATTTCAAATTGATCGATAAACTAGAACTCGAGATATCGCGTGAACCGTTTCGAAAAATCAGGTTTCGAGAAAAACGCGTTTAAAGATTCGTCTATCCATTTCGTTACGGTACGATTGCATCCTTCAAACGCTTACATCTACATTAACTTTACGAATTCTAACAAATCCTTTTGCGCAGATCCTTTAGAATACTTATGCTTCAAGAAAATGCAAGAAAGAAATTGATTTTTTGAAAGTTCAAAACCAGAATACCCCCTTAAGGAGATTCGAGAATGCGCGAAAATTGACTACTATGAATGACCACGGACGGAATGAAATATGGTAGGATAAGGCGACACCAAACGTGGAGAATATCGCAGGCGATATTTACCGATTACGAAGATAAATAGAACGTGCACAAAGAGGTGAAGGAACTTGTCGCTTTGAATAACTATTGAAGAGAACGAACGTACAGGGTGATTTAAAACAGAGGGAACAGTTGTTGACGTAATATTTGCTACACATTTCTCGGTAGTTGTAAAAATTGCGTAAAAAAAAGGGTGGAAACATGAAAAGAAACTTGTTATCTACGATGGTGATCGAGTGAAACGGATGTACAGGATGATTCAAAACGAAAGGAACATTATCGAAGCAACGTTTGGCAGTGTAGTTGCGAAAAGTGCATTGAACAAGTTTGAAAATATAGAAGAATTTGTTATTTGAAGTGCCGATCGAATGGAACGGATGTATTAGGTGTACAAATTAATTCGTGGCCTGGATTTAAAAAAAAAAACCAAAGTACAGTTCAGTCTTGGAAATAATCTCCATCACTTGCTACACGTTTATTCCATTTCTCAGGCAGTTGGCGAATTCCCTTTCGAAAATATGATGCCGGTTTCGAACGTATAAAATCAGCAATGCT